ATCAACATTGAATCAAAGCAAATGCGGTAAGAAAATGAAATACAAGGTAAGTAAGGGAAGGCATGTCATGTAGAAGCCTGAGCTGACCAAGCAGCTACTTCAGAAATAGTCTTAACGGGGACTGGGGAGATGGCGCAGTAGAGAAAGGGCTTGCTGCACAAACATGGGAATCCGAGTTCAATTCCAGAATCCTAGAGAAAAAGATAGGCAGACAGACAGACAGACAGACAAGCAAAACAAAACTGAAAGCAAGTAGCACCATGGTTGTAATCCCAGGAACGGGAAGGTAGAAATTAGCCTAACCAGTGAGCCCTGGGTCCCAGTAAGAGGTCCTGTCTCAAAAGCAAGGGGGTCTATTCTGATGCCACATGTGGTCTCCACATGCATTCTCACACATAGGCACCCAAATATACATAGGCACGCACATTCTTGTGAGCATACATACATATGTGTGCATGTGCACACACACATACACACACACACACACACACAATTGATGAACTGAAAACAATTTTAAGTGGCAACAATGAATAGTGGTAAGACAAATAAAATAAAGATGTGGCCACCAGATGGCACTAGCGCTCAGTGGCTATGTTAGGCTGATATTGGCAGGTGCAGGAAGCAAAGGCACACGAAATTAACTACAAAGAAATACACCTTTCTATTAAATATATATTTTATTGTTAGATTTATTCTAAGTGAGGTGTGTATGTGTGTGTGTGTGTGTGTGTGTGTGTGTGTGTGTATACAACTCTCAGGACTTGGTTCTATTCACCCACTGCAGGATCCAGGAATCAAATTCAGATGGCCAGGTCTATCTCTCAACACTGATTTCACTAGAGTGGTGGTGAAGACCTTTAATCCCAGCATTCTGGAGGCAGAGACAGGGTTATCTCTATGAATTCCAGGCCAGTAATGACTACATCATAAGAGCCTGTCTCACACAAGAAAAAAAAATGATTCTACCCCATGTCAGGCTTCGTGCTCATAGTGATTCAGGAGAGGAGGACTCTGAGAGGAGCCTTGAAAATGCAGGAGTGATCCCACAGGAAGCAGAAGGCCCCAAGATCCAGCCCCTGCAGACATATTCCCCTGCCTTCCTAGCACTTCCTAGCCTGCTCTCCACACTACCTCTTTTGAAATACTCCTCCTAACACACTGAGGAGTAGGGTTCAGTTGTGGCTGCTGCTGGAGGACCTGTGTGCTGTCAGTTTTCCGTGGCTGTGATAAAATACCCAAGACAACCAGCGAAGGTTCTGCTCAACAAGATCTCAATGGTTTCACCCCTGGCTACTCGGCTCCATTCATTCTGGCCTGTGATGAGGCAAGGATGCACGGCTGGGAGCCTGTGGTGGGGCACATGCTCACCTAATGGCCTTCAGGAAGTGGGGGGTGGGGGAGAAGAGAGAGAGTTTATAACAAGTTCCCAGCCCCTAGACCCACTAGCCTCTAAGTACATCAGTGTATTTTTACACTGTCAGGTCAGAACCCTCATGATCCAACCACCTTCCACAGCTACTTCAGAAACAGTATTAAGATGGTCTGGGGAGATAGGTGCTTGCTGGACAAGCATGAGAACCTGAGTTTAATCCCAGAATCAAAGAGAGAAGGAAGGAAGGAAGGAAGGAAGGAAGGAAGGAAGGAAGGAAGGAAGGAGAGAGAGGAAGAAAGAAAGAAAGAAAGAAAGAAAGAAAGAAAGAAACCAACCAACCAACCAACCAACCTGGAAGTCATGCCATGATTGTCTCACCCAACTTATGAATATGGCTGCACTAGGAACCAAAGTTCCAACACATACACTTTTGAAAGACAGCAGATTCAAACTCTGGCCTTGTCCTGCCTCAGAGCTAAACAACGGTACTCAAATGTGCCCCCATCCTAAGCATTTGGCCTATAGACATGGAACTATGCAAAGGTGGTTAAATTAAAGAACTAAAACAAAGGCCCATCTGGATTACAGAGGACTCAGGATAAGCACTGGGCTCTTATGAGAGGGCTCCAGGAGGGCTAGAGGAAGCCATAGGAAAGGCAGGGAGATGGTGGTGGAGAATACAAGGGTCACACACAGCTAAGAAGGCCTCATGCACCACGCCCTGGGACCCCAAGCAGAGTGTGCTCTGCCATACCCTGTCTGCGGCCCAGGGAGGCTGGCTCTATTTACTTCTGCCTCCCAGAGGGAGGGAGTAGATGCCAGTTCCTTCACAGTGCTGTGTATAATGACTGTCTATGCAGCCATCTCCCTTGAAGTGGGTGAACTGGGATGGCAGGCATGTGGGGCCAGCAATCAAGAGAAAGGGATCCCACTGGGGAAAAGCCGTCACCCTTAACTAACCCCATGTGCCAGTTCCCGCATGTCCATGGTAAGCACTCACTACTGTAAAGAACCTCCACTTCTGTATGCCTTTGGCACTTTCCCATCTCTGAAAATTTTCTGCCTGACTGATCTGATCACCACACGGGAGGGTTCATGGGTCTTCAGCCAGACAATGGAACCAGTTTTATAGTCAAATGTTCTCTCACACCCACCAGCTTTACAAGATGTGGTCATCAGGATCCTGGGACTTCAGCACCTCCAACTCTATGTGGCTAAGGCCACGTGACATCCACTCCTGTGACTACTCTGGAGATGTCTGGGAACCCAGATGCCACCATCACTGAAATGTTCCCAAGGAAACAGAGGCTAATTTTGTGTTTGCTCATCTCCCATGCACCTGCCAACCCAAATAAAAGGCCTCACAGGAAATCTCCGCAGCAGGTGACTTCAACCTGACTGTCCACAGCCTTCCCTCCTCCCCCAGTGGTATTTTTTCCTACCAAGAGCTTCCATCTTTTTCCATTTGGAACCCAAGTACCTGGGTGGGGTGGAGAAAGCCATGTTTCCGAGTCAGGGGTCATAAGGGCAACCAAGAAACTAAGGTTTAAGATGCATTTCCACGCTATGCATCAAAGTCCACAGTAAGGGTACAGTGCTGTGGCTTCTGTGAGATAAACCAGCTCTCCTCACCAGGCTCCGTCCAGTGGCTGGTTATTTGCACTCTTCCAGGCTGCAGGTTTGAAGTGCTCATATTCTGACTGGCTTCAGCTGGGGGTTGCCTCCCTGCTCCTAGGATCACCTGTCTACCTTCCGGTCCGCAATAGGGAGACTAGTTTTTCTCCTGACTTCACCTGGACTTCACTTCTGGCTGCTTTTAAAGGACTTAAAACCTCAAACTTACAAGTCAATCTCTACCTCAAGGACAATAGACTTGGGGCACAGATGCCAAGTGCAAGCTCCTGCCCAGCAGCGCCTAGGATGAGCATCTGACTGTGTGATGGGAAAGGTACGGGAGGTCCTTGGAGTCCATGAGGAGAACTGCCTGCTACTCCTAGTTTCCTGGTTACCTCTTCTATTGCTATGACAAAACAGCTGGCAAGAAGCACCTTGAGGGAAGAAGGGCTCGTATTGGTTCAAGAGGGTTATAGTCCATCCTGGCGAGGGAGGCATGCAGCAGGAGCTTGGGACTGCCTAGTCACATTTCCAGGACCAGGGAGCAGAGGGAGAGGACAGCGGGTGCTCCCTGGGCTTTCTTCTCTTTCATCCAGCCTTGGCTTCAGTCCACAGGATGGTGCCACTCACATTCAGAGTGGATCTTCCCTCAGTTAAACCTCTCTGGAGGTTCTTGGTGACAGTGTCATAGACATGCCCCCATGTGTCTCCCCTAGGTGATTCCAATCCAGTCAAGTTGATAAAGGGTGGTGAACCCCCATATCCATCAATCCCAAATGTTTCCAAACTGGACGACCTCTAAGTTGCATGAGGGGATGAAGAGCCACTCCCTAAGTGAGGCATCACCACCATGTAGCTGAAGGCAGCAACGGACACCGTTGGGAGACAGCACTGGTTCTGCTTTCCACCCCAGTGCATGCTGGGCAATATGAAGGAATATTCAAGAACCATGTCTTCTTCTAGCTGTGTGATTCACCTAACCTGACCAATCATTCCTTTCCCCAGCAAGTCTTGGGTCTGATCCATAAGAGAACATCTTAAAGTGCCTGTCACATAGCAGACATTATGCTGGAATGCATAGCATACCCACAGTCAAGCTGTTGAGCCATCTGCATGACCTTCTGAGGACTGGTTTTCTTTGTAACCAGCACTTCATCCTCTCTGGGACCACCCCACAAGTTCATTTGATCTTCTGGCACCCCTGTCTCTGGTGGGCTGTCCATGACCACTGCTGAATGTGAACTCAGACAATTAACTCAAGTGTTTTCTCCAGGCAACTCCATCTCCTTGTGAAGATTGCCGGCCAGGTGGGTGGGGAAGTTCTGGATTGGGGGGGGAGGGAGGGACACTACAGAACTGCCTAAGACAGTAACCTCTGGAGGTGGCTCCCACTCAAGTAGTTCCTGAGTGGGTCACCAGGTGGCAGCACAGGCCAGTATGCCTCCTGGCAAGAGAACCCTGGCTTGAGAAGGGCTTCAGAGTCCCCGGGGGTCCTCGCCCCTGGGAAGACCCACACCTCCACACACAGCAGCTTCATCAGTCTCTGCTTACAATGTGTCCGTGTGGTCATTATCATTTCTTTGTGGCTTTATAGCAAATGAGAAGACCCAAGATTTAAGAGTAACCATGTTCAAGACAGAAGCAATTTGGTGACCTGGTGTTACTGCCAGGGAAAGCCACAGGAGGTTTAAGTCTTTTTTTTTTTTTTTTTTTTTTAAAGGACAGCCAAGAAATCTTCCAACAGTTTATTAGAAAGAATGTAGACATTTAAAAAAATCCCCACTGGCCGGGCGGTGGTGGCGCACGCCTTTAATCCCAGCACTTGGGAGGCAGAGGCAGGTGGATTTCTGAGTTCGAGGCCAGCCTGGTCTACAGAGTGAGTTCCAGGACAGCCAGGGCTCCACAGAGAAACCCTGTCTCAAAAAACCAAAAAAAAAAAAAAAAAAATCCCCACTGTCATGAACATAAATTGAGGTTTTCCAGCCAGGGCATAAGCTGAAATCAAAACAGGAAATAAAAAAATCCAATAGTGTATTAACATTTTCCACTCATTTGCCATACTGACAGTGCAATACAAATCTGGTCTAAAATGTACATATTCTCAAGCAACAATGTACAGCTTTCTTTGTCCTCCATGCTAAGAGATGTAAAAGCTTAAGGGCCAAACAATACCAAATGTATAGGCTTCAAAACCATCTAAGTTAGGGCATCCACTAGTTTTAGCTAAAATACACCTGAACACTGACAAGTGATCACATACAATGATGTAAAGTACATTTTTTTTTTTTTGAAAACTAAACTTTAGTGGAATAATTCTGAAAGGTATCCTGGAAGAATGGCAGGGTATCAGTTTAAGATTAGCCAATTTGTTTCCACCTCCTTTAAAAGTTCATGGTTTGGGATCTAAAACCTTTATCTTTCCCTAATGTGTAAGTAACTGTGTTATGACAAAAGAAGACTTAGATGAAATGTGATTATTCATCAGAGCTGCTGTAGCAGTTGCCTAGGATCTCAACTGCTTCATGGAATCCTGGGAAATGTTCATGCATAAGGATATTGCCTTAGCTGACTTAAATTGCCCCATACAATGGTACATAATCAACCCTTAGTGAAGCCTTTAAAAAAAAAAAAAGGTTGAAAGTGGGTTTAAGGAGGCAAGTACAGCATATCTGCCTTTAGAGCTATCAACTCAGGGATTTTCTCAATTATGAAATCTTGCAGAAGTTATTCTTCTTTCTCAAAATCCAGGCGATGACAACACTCCTTACTCTAGATCTGGCATTTTTTCATCATCACTGTCTTGTGAATCATCATCTGCTCCATCTACTTCTGGTAAATCTACATCCTCATCACCACCCATGTGATCCATCATCTCAGAGAAACGGTCAAAATTAGACATGTCTTCATCTGAGTCATCCTCCCAGTCTTTCCAATTATTGAAGTCCACACTAAGCCAATTAAGCTTTGCCCTTTCCTTTGTTAACCTAGGCCATGACTGGCCAGATTCTCCTTTTCGCAAACAACATAAAATTGATCTGTCCGTTCTTTTATGCTTGGAATCATTTGGATCAATACAGTGAAAAAGATCAATTTCATTTAAATGCTTAAAATTATCACTTCCTCCAAGACAACTGAAAGTAAGTTTGGATTTTTCAAAGTTTACATTAACATCTTTACTGTCTTCAACACAAAATTCAATGAATACATAGTCCCTTCGATCGTACCACTTTGCAGAAGCAGGCTGCATGGTGAACGGGGCAGAGGGCCAGGCGAACGGGTGGGCGGGCCTCGCTGGCGGCGGCAGGCGAGTCGACTCCTCTCCGGCGGCGACTCCGGCGGTCTCTTGCCCGGTCGCGGCCTCTCCTCGCTCCTCTTAGGCGACGGCGGCGGCGGCGGGCTCGGCCTCGATGCCCAGAATGCACCGCGCGGAGAGCGGCTCCCTCAGCCCGGGAGAGGAGGAAAGTGTAGGAAAAGGGGCGCGAGGACGGAGAAAGACCGTGCGTGCGCGCGAGGGGTGGTGAGGCCGGGCGGCCGAGGTTTAAGTCTTATTCCAGAAAGTTTCAAAGGTTTTGTGTAAGCCCCATGGTATTCACCACCGGCTTCAGCACTGCCATCACTTTCCCACAGTCTTACAAGAAACCTCACCTTTTAAAACTAGAGCATCTTTAAAAGCCATTCCCAAACAATATGATAATTTACCATAAATATTCCCATTCAGAGCCCTGACCATATCATTCCCTAACAAAAGGCTTAGTGGCACGGTATTATCATCGGATACCCATCACATTCAAGTCCCCTGCCCCTTTCACAGTCGGTCTGCTCCATCACAACCAAGGGCCATGAACTCAATCCAATTATGTCTTTTAACTTCATTGGTGCTCTAACGGTATCCTCTCTCCTCCTACTCGACCCCATAATGAATTAGCAAATCAGGCCACTTGTCCTACCAAACACCAATGAACCAGTATTCCTGGAAAGAAACTCTCTGCAAAGGCTGATTGACGGATTAAAACCTCAATGACTGTGGAGAGGCTAAATCGTTGCAGGTGCAGAGCCTAATTACAATTTATCTTGGGCAATCTTTAGTCCATTAAATAGATTCCTTGCCCCACTCTGTGTCAGACCTAACATCATGCATGATAAGCAGATTAAAATCTTGGTAACATAGTAACAAAACCCTACTCTCCATCAATCAAAGGGCTAAGAGTGCTATCAGATAGCATCTGAGGCCTACAGCTGAGATCTCTGTTTGCTGTAATCACCTACTTAATGTTTCCACTAATACATTTTATGTCCTGAATTGTGGCTTTCTTTGTTCTGCTACTATGCAAACTTCCTGAAACTGCTGTCACGTTGGAACATAGGATTGGGGGGTGTCCTAAAACCGTTTCTGGGCCAGTCACTCATAATTGTGTGGACATGCTCGAGTCCCCCGGCAAAAAGTAGCATGTGTTGAGGAAATGGTTTTAATTAGAGCGAAGTTAAATAATACAATTTTGGTCCTTTCAAGGGCACCCACAAGCTGTAGTCCATGGACGAAGCATTCTATTTCGGGATTTGAGGGAGCCTGGAGAGGAAGGAAGCAGCTGCACATACCTAGACAGGACAGAAAGCGTCCTCCGACATCTCTCAGCTCTGCGACCTCCCCCATAGCACTGACCAAACATCTGCACCCGTATCTTCGAAGCTCTCCTGCACACGCTGAAGTTACTTCTTTTTAATTATGTTACATTCTGAGAAAACTGGAGGTGGCAGAAGGTACAAAACCAAGTCATGCTCATCGGGCCGTCCACAACCAGCCTGCTGACACAACGCGCTTGCGGCATAGTAGAGATGGGGTCCGTCCCTTCCCGGGACACTCACGTTCCACTGGCAGAAGGTAGCAGAAGCCTTAAAGCAAGGACCTGGCTCCTGTTCCCTGGTCCCCGCCCAGCGCTCGCCGCCTCCCGCCCCGCCCCGGCGCTCTTCCCTTTCATTGGCTATCCCCCGGCGCGCCCACGCCCACAGACGCTCCGTTTCCCTCCACCCCTCCCACTTCACCTTTCACCTCCTCACCTTCCGGGGCTCCCAGAAGCCTCGGTCTCCGCCCACCGGAGAAGGGGGGGGGAAACAGTACTCCGTCATGACTCGCAATTATTGGTGGAAATGAACTGTCCATCACAACAACAGCGGTCACGGATTAGCTAAAAAGCAGCAGTAGGTGGAAAAACCGGTATAGGGACGTCCGCGCGTGCTCAGTGTGGGCGCAGTGACGCGACCCGGGGGCAATCATGGCGGCTCGGTGCGTGAGGCTGGCACGGCGCAGCCTCCCGGCTTTGGCGCTGTCGTTCAGGTAAGAGACATCGCTCCTCCGCGTCTGCCTCACCCACGGCCGAGAGCTCTGGTGGGGGTGCCTTAGCAGCAGGTCTGGTCCCCGAAGCCGGTGCTCGTGCGCCCTGAAGTCACATCTTCACAGTCGGGTTCCTGTGTCTGGCCTCAAGGCGCGGGTGCCCGGGTGTTTGCTGTGTGGCGCTACAGGAACTAGGCTCAAGAGCCAAGAAGTGGGGCCGCTGGGGCGTAAATGCGGGACTCTGGGCGATGCGTCAGGTGGAAGGCTCCGCCATTTGCTTGTCTGGCGACACACGGCACTCTCACGGGCATAGGGGCACCACCCCTCCTGGAATTGCAAAAGACAACCCCAGAAGCGGGAGACTTGCCCAAGGTCAGGTAGCCAGGCAGAAGCCCGCCTGCCCAGGGACTGGGGTTGCTAATCCCTAATCCAGACCAGGATGTGTGCTGCCTGGTTTATGGGCTTTTTCCACTGTCCCTCATATTCCTTCCCCACTTTTGTCCTCCGCGAAATGTAAGGTCCAAGGAGCAACAAAGCCAGTGTGTGCGCAGTTTATTTTAAAAAGTGACTTTGCCTGAATCTTGTGGAAACTGAGAGGAATGGGAGCTGAGCTTTTCATCTGGTGAGAGTTAGCAGGTGGATGAACTCTTACATGTGACTACAAGATGAAGACAGGCTTATAGTGTGCAAAGAGCTGGGAGCAAAGGAGGCTGGAATATTCCTGTGGAAGCATTTCTTATTTGTGGTGCTCTATTTAGAGTTGTCAGGAAAGAAGCCCCATTTCCCATCCCATCCGGTCCTGCCCATCCCCCATCCCCCAGCTTGGTTCATGTCTGTCTCTGAAATTGTGGTTTTGAAGAAAGGTGCTCTAGTAGGAATATATATATATATATGTATATATATATATTACTATACTATACATACTATATACACTATATATATATATATATATATATATATATATATATATATATATATATATATATAGTAGTATAGCTGTTAGTCATAACTCCACAGTATCCCTAAGCGTGGCTTCCCTCATCCCTGAGAATAGCCCTAGAAATTCCTTACATGAAAGGATCTGGCTGTGATTGTCACTCCTAGGGGTGGAAATAATTCATAGTGAAGGCAGGCTTCACATTTTATAGGTTTTTATATTCTTAGCATAATTTTGTTCTTCAAAATTAATTACTGATTTTCTTTTTTAAATTTATGTGTATGAATGTTTTGCCTGTATGTATGTGCATGCACCATGTGTATGCCTAGTGCCTTCAGAGTTCAGAAGAGTGTCAGATACCCTGGAACTTGAGTTACAGTTAGATGTGGTTGTTAGCTGGAAATCAAAGTCAGGTCGTCTACAAGAGTAACAAATGCTCTCAACCACCAAGCCCAAATTCTTAGCCTTTTTAAAAGCATGAAAGTAAAAATAAAATTAAAAAGTCACTACTGGGGCCAGAGAGAGATGGGTCTCAGTGGTTAAGCACTGGCTGCTTTTGTGAAGGACCTGGGTTTGGTTCTCAGCATCCACACTGGGGAGGTCACAGCCACCTGTAACTCCAGCGCCAGGAGATCCCACACCCCTCCTGGCTGCCTCCTCAGCCTCACTTCCAGGACTCACTTGGTACTTCTCTTTCCATTTCCTCTGCACAGCACTCATACTGCACTTCCATTCCTCTGTTCAAGTGATTCCTGAAATGTACCTCTTATCCACCCTACTCTGTAACTCACCTGGGCTGTGAACCTGTGCAGGAGCACACACTGCAATCCCAGGACTCAGCACCTAGAAGACTGAGGTTAGAGGATTGCAAGTTTATTTCCAGACTCAATCTCTGAATAAACAAATACATCAGAAAGAAAACCAGGGCCTGGAGAGAAGTCTCAGTGGCTGAGAGTACTCACTGCTCCTGTAGAGGCCTCAAGTTTAGTTCCTAGCAGCCACACTGGGACAGATCTCAACTGCCTGCAATTCCAACTCCAAAGTAGCCAGTGGTTTTGGCTTTCCTAGGCATACAGGCACACAGACACACACATACAAAGGCACACAGGGACAGACAAATATGCACATGATAAATGTAATAACATCACATCTTTTTTTTTCTGTTTTGTTAAATCAGCTTGCTGGGCATTGTGGTCCACACCTTTAACCCCAGCACTTGGGAGGTAGAGGCAGCCAGAGCCCTGTTGAGTTTGGGGCCAACCTGTTCTACATATCAAATTCCAAGCCAGCCAGTTAGATTGTGAGGCCCTGACTCAAAAAAGAAAACCAGTCTCCTGGGTTTCCCTGCAGCCATGGGTCATGGTGTTTTGGGTGTTTACTTTTTCTCTCTGATGACAAGATTTTTGTTCGGCCACTGTCATCAGCAGGATGTGCAGTAGGCCTTGTTCTATGAAAGGGTCTTGACACCGTAGAGTACATGAGGGGGTAGACAGGGGACACGGCTAGTCAAGCATGGGTTACAGATTGTACATAGTCACATGTCAGTTAATGACAGGGCTGCATTCTGTGAACTGTTTTGTCAGGTGATCCTGTTAGCTGGTGGGTATCAGAGTGCATTAATACCACCTAATGGGGCAGCCACCACCACCTATGCCATGTACTGTTAAAGACTCTTAGGGTAGCAGCAGTAGAGAAATGGCTCTGTGGTTGAGTGTTTGCTTCTTTTCCATAGTACCCAAGCTCATATTGGACAGTTCACAACCACCTGTAATTCCAGCTCCAGGGGATCTGATATCCTCTTCTGGTCTCCTAGGATACTTCACTCATGTGGTATATACTCACACTGACACACCTAAAAAGGCATCCACATTTTTTGTGTCGTGTATGTGATATGAGCACATTGGGAAGGCCCCAGGTCAACATCAGGTATCTTTCTCCTATCCCACCCTCATTTACTTATGTGTTGCGGGCTATAGCAAATGTGTGGAAGTCAGGACACCTTGTAGAAATCAGTTCTCTCCTTTCCACCATTCAGGTCCTGGGGACTGAGCTTATGTCATGACTGTCTTGGTGGCTAGTACCTTAACCCAGTAAGCCAGCTTGAAGCTCATGATTTGGCTAGGGTAGCTGGCCAGT